CATAATATGGCCAAAATATTTTTCGCGCAGCAACATTTTCAAGTAGCTGTTACTCAAAAAGTAAAAGTCCAATAAAAAAAATATTTCTTTTAAAAGTTTCTTATTTTTTTATGTACTTTAAGAATATGTAAGAAAAAAATGGGATTCCCATTTAAAAAAACAAAGTTCACCTCGATATGACCATATTATGATCAGCTAAAATGAATTTAGACAAAATGTTTCCCCCAAAAAAACTATAAAACTTTTGTCTGAAACGTTTTTTTCTAAAATGCATATTTTCGGCGGTATTTAACTGTAACACTTTAATTTGAACACCCAGTATATATAACTAGGGTTGGCAGATTTTTATAAAAAATCAAGTCCTTTGTGAAATTTCTAAAAAAAAAAGGTCTTCAGGGAATGTAACTTTATGTGGGCGCCAAAACAACTTTCCAATAAGTTTGAAGTTTTCAGCAAATTTTTTGCCATTATTGGGGTAATGTTAAAATGTTTTTTGGTTACTGTATGAAACGAATTAGCTCAATGAAAAGTGTAAGCATATATGTAAAATAATATCAAACATAAATAAAGAAAATGGCAAAAAAATAGCTAAAAATTTTAAACTCCTTGAAAAATTTGAATCCCATTCTTAACATTAATGGTTGGTTATTACGGAAACCTCGAACGCTTCCACTTTATACCATTTCTAGTTGATGCTGGCATAAATCGAGATGCCCTCTCCGGAATCGTATGCAAATGTCGGATAGTGTTTAATGGGTCGAAAGGAGTCGTTCCACGAAAGGGCATACTTTCCTCGATCATCGTCCATCACCAGTGGGAAATTGCCACTTCCGGTTCGTATGCCTCCTTCCGGCAGCGACCTAGACGTATGCAAACCGGCTAGCGCCCGGTTATTTTTGCAAGATACGATAATGTATCCACATGGCCGAGCTTCCTCGTTCATCGAATACTTAACCCTTTTTTTTCAACCGGAAGTGGAGGTCAGCAGGTGCAAGGACTGGTCACAGACGCTCGGAGGCACTTTTTCCCGGTTTCCCAAGCCTCCTGAGTATATCCCCAAAAGGGCATACGAACATAGATTATCGACAATGTTTGTGTCATGGGCCAACGGTCTATAATGTTATTAATTTTATTCCAAATGGACTTCAGGGAAGAATGACGATTGAGGGAGCTACAATACATCCTAAAGTTATTTTTTCGTTTGGATTTGAGAACTTTACTAGTTGTAGCTATATTTTTTTTTACTTAGATGTAATTATCTAAATTTTGGACTTTCCATGAAATTTCTAATGGAGGTTACCCAGTTTGATACAAGTTCATTACATGAATCATCCCACCAAGGGATATGATATTTAACATTCATGTTAGGCTTGAAGAAGGACATAGTAGTATCAGCAACTTGATTTATTATAGATATGAACTCATAATAATTATCTTTGGGTAAGGAAGGAATAAGAGTAATCAGTTTATTAAAGTAAGAATTCCAATCTGCCTTGTTGAGGTTTCTTCTGTTGTTAGGGATGGGAGGGCCATTATTAGGGATTCCTATCTTACATTTGGTAGAAAAATGGTCACTAGAGCCCAAATCCGGAATCGCTTCCCAAGTTGATTTATGAGCCAAATCTATTGAACAAAAGGTTAAATTAACAACAGATTTACCACCATTTGGTGGAGAAATTCGTGTAGGAATAAAGTTAGACCTGGGCAATAAATATTCACTAAATTTAATTGGCAGTGGGGGAGATAGATGGCGAGAACTTGAGTTGGAAGATCTAGAGAGTAATCTATTAGAAGAGGCTGAAAATCTAAATTATCCTTATTAACTAAAAAGGCTATACCTCCATAGCCATCCAATCTATTATTTCTCAATGTTTGGTAACCTCTACACCTTAACATATAATCTTCCTTCATCTAAGTTTCATTAAGTAGGATTATGTCTGGATTGTGTTCCTTAATTAGGATCTTTAGATTATCTATGTTTGAGTTAAAAGAGCAAATGTTCCATTGAATAATGGTTAATGGATCGAAGAGTACAATAATAGATAATTAGTACACTGAATCTTCAGAGTACTCCATTAGACCTGACTGAGAGAAAGAATTTGAAGGTCCTGCAGGACCTGTAGGAGAAGCATTGGGTTGTGATACAGAATGAAAAGAGTTGATAACATTACCTATGAAGGTCATGACTAACTCTTTGTGTTGGTCCCAAAAGCTATCTAAGACTTGAATAACATCTATTTTAATATTATTTTCTTCCTCAGGCCGAAAGGGAGACGATAGGGGTCGAGTTGGGAGACTGGATGATTTTCCTGATGGACTAATTAAGCATTCTTGATGCTTTTTCTTATCATATTCATCATCATGTGATCTTCTTCGTTTTGGCGTTCTTATTTTTTGACTGTAGGTAAAGATCACAACAATACGGTTTTTCCTTTTTTTTTTTTTGAGGATATCCTTCAGTTTCAGTATATGAAGATTTCCTAGATTATTTGTTTTTCCTTGGACATATATACTTCGAAGGGGCCCGAGTCTGTGTTCGAATACAAGTTTTTAACCCTCGGCGGAGGATCTGGAGGATCCGGTGGATAGTTGACCCCCAACTCCATATGGGTTGGAGGTTAAGTTAATTTCTATTTGTTTTGTGTCACAAAAATATGTTTATATACAATTACTTACTAAAAATATGAGGAAGAAAAAGATTAAAAATACACAGGATGGTGTTAGTAAAGCCCAAATAACAAAAGATTGTTAAATTTTCACTGACAGCGATGTTTACACTTTGGATGTCAAAATAAAAGTCAGTTAGGGAGTTTTATTCTTGTACAATAAACCATCAATAATATACGCAACGTATCTGTAATATTCCATGAATATTTCAACAACATTTCATCGTAATGTTGTCATAAATGCACTAATGAAATGTCGTTGGGAAGTTTTTTATTTAGCTTGAAAAAATGTTCCTTCGAAATGTTTTTAAAATGAATCAGGTATATTTCTCGAAAACAATGCAATGTAACTGTTTAATTGTTGATTAGAAACGCTACAGTGCGGTTACTACAATATAAGCTTGAAATGTTTGCATGAGGCATTAAAACTAATGTTGCCTAACTTCCCATCAATGTTTGTGCTGGCTGGAAATACATATTTTCCAAATTTTAAATAGTTCTGGCTAATTCAAGTTTTGACAAATCAAAATCTGTGTATAAAAATGTTATTTTTTTATTAAAAAATACCTCTTCATTTAAATTAACCATCTCTCCCCTACCTTTTAAATAAAAACACGTCCAAGTTGTTAAGTGTAATTCGCCCTCATGTACTTCAATTTAAATAGATTGTCTTTTTCTAATTGTCCATCCGTCCGTCGACATGATAACCCATTTTTAAAACGGCTAGACTTACATACTGACCTCGATATTTGTCGGTGGTTTTTGCAGTCATTGATTATTTAGTTACCTGATGGCGTATTTACAAGTACATCCTTGTAAGGCAGAATGTGGTATTTTTTTAGTTGATGAGTTTAATTAATTTGAGTTGAATAAAAAGTAATTGTTTTTGAAAAGACTAGTAACTACAAGGTGTAACTTCATTAATAAATTATTTTTTTAAATGGGACAGAAATTAATATTTTCCATATCATTTTTAGAGCAGAAAAACGCATTTCTTAGTCAGAAAATTAATGTGAAAGTCATTTTATTTTATTATTTTTGATCTGTGAATTTAAAAAAGAATAAAAAGAAATATGACCGAGTGTGATGAATTATTTGAACAGTGTGTCCGTAAAGTATGGAATAAATTCGATATTTCCTAAACTAAAAGCTTCCATTTTTCAATCTTCTAGTATCCCTTCATGAAGATCTTTTTATAAGGATATAAGGTACTAGAAACAAAAAGACATTGAAAATTTATTTAGTATTGCTATTTGTTGGTATAAGCAAAAAAAACTTACTTCTAAAAAGGCCACATTTCAACTCAGGTACAGCAATTTCTCATTTATCACTTTTGTCCTTCCTTAATATAAGATTGTATATACAAAGTAGTATTTTGTATTTTAGGCCTTTTCTTTTCTGGCTATCGTAGTCATAGATAGTTTCATTTCATTTTTCTTGTTCGATTAATTTACATTGGAACAGTTACGTGTAATTCCGGACATCACATTAATTTGAGGTAGCCTCAAGGACAGCTGTATTTGAGAACCTTACTGCTGGATAGTAGTAAACTATTGAGACACCATTTTCATCCCTTACTCACTGGAGTTACCTAAAAACTAAGAAAAGGACGATATTTTAATTGGAGGTTAAGATAAGTGGACCTATTCATACCTTTGAATCCAATAGGCTATTTTGTCAAGTAACTCTTCCAAAGAGGTCTTCGAATTCAACCATTGCCTATGTAGGATAGTGTCAATCTCCAAGGTAGGAATTTTACTGATTATACCAGCTCAAGTCTATCAGATAGAAGGTGTTATCACACAAAATATCTCCACCATCAGTGTTTGGGAATATTCTAAAAATTGTATATTTTGTAAGCCACCCAGAATAGATATCTATTTTAAACGGTACGTAAGCTGTATATTAAATTCAAAGGACTTACCTATACAACCGAATTATAGCTAGGTATTGAATAAAACCTCAAGATTCTCCTTTAATATCTAATAAACACGTTTTAATTATATACCATAACCCTTAAAATTATTCTTCTTTTCCATTTGCGGTATCCATCACATAAATTTACCCAGGTAAATAATCAATTGTATCTAGGTACAATCGCCAAACGGTCTAAACCAAATCAGTCATTTAGCCAAATTCGAGGACAGAAGGAAAAATTACCTACGACCCTCTCTTTGACTGAGCAGTGAGAATTAATTTCCCCATTTATTGTTTTGCTCTGTAGGTCATAGCAAATTTGGCGCCCAACGTGGGGCTCGGAATCTTCTATTTAAGATTGTGTGACATATTTTTGTTAGTTAATTACTTGCATTAATTAAAAATACTTTTTTTTAGTCACTAAAAGGTATGGAAAAAATAGAGCCTGAACATCAACGAAGCAGCTTAGAAAGTGGTTACAAAAAATCACCTAGCATCATGTAATCAGAAAATATTATAATTTGTTTAGCAAAATGTCCACAAAATAACATTTACAGCATCTTTCAAATTTTGACTAAAAATAAGTTATTAGCAAACCGTGATAAAGGTATAATGACTTACATACCTTACAAAAAAAATTGCAAGAAAAGTAACGGTTATTAACGAAATATTCATATTTATGAAAACCTTATTTCTCTGTGTTCTTTAAGTTTCTTAATAAAAGTTCAGATACTGTAAAAAAATTGAATTAGAGGACATTTTGTACACTTGATAGCTTTTGACTTTACTTTGACAATTTTTTTTTTTTCGATCAATAAAGAGTTTTTGATAAATTTATTTTTATTTTACAAAATTCGAAATACCTCAATTTTATGGTATTCACCCTATCGTTACTGAGACCTCTTGAGCAAACTTGTAGAAAGAAAGAAGAGGCAAACGATTTGATTTTGAACGAAAGACGTTATAAGTATTAAGACACTGAATTTTCGGGTTTATGGAGCATTGGAAAAATAATCCACTTTCTTGAAAATAACTTTAATAAACAAGATAAATACCCTACAACAAGTGGTTGAGAATAATTTATATGTTCAATTTTTTTAACTATTTTATTGAAATAAATGAAGTTATACAACTAACATTGCAAAAACGTAATATTGGTTGCATAGATGTTAGTATTTGTTTACTAAACCAAATTTTATAAATGATCTAAACAAAATTAGAAAACACCTTGTATATAAGGCGTTAACGAAATATCGTTTTGTGTAACTCGTTCATTTTGCGGGACCTCGCTCCGCTCATCCCGTAACTATTCAGTAGTTATGCTAAATGAGGCATAAATAGCTATTAGTTAATCAAAACAATAAAAATTTGGCAAATAGGAGCAACATTTTTTATTGTTTACCATTACAATTCTTCTTTTTAGAAAAGTTAGTCGTTTAATGGCCCTAGTTGTTCCAGTGTCCACTAACAGTGTATATTTTCTACCATTTACCTCACTGGTACACAAGTTCCGATTCTGGTCTCTTTCTTGATGGCAATTAGGTGATCATTAACGTTTACAAGACGAACTGAAATCTCTTTAGCAGTCGTGACCAACCCCTTTCCAATCAGAATTTCTCGTCCAACCTCTTCATCGTGGTTCCAAGGTTTCGTCATTACAGGTGTTCCTTCTTCCATAGTTTCTTGAAGCCGTGCAACTATAATGGTTTCACTTCTTCCAGGTACCACCGTATATATATATATATATATATATATATATATATATATATATATATATATATATATATATATATATATATATATAGGATGTTCCATCAATAATGGCGGCTGGTAAGGAAGGAAGTTGGGACGCCGCCCTCCCTGCGAAGTAGCAGGAGTCATCTGCAAATTAGTATTTCCATATACCTAATCAGTAATTTGGGTCAGATGCAGATAAGGCTGCCGCCTGTCCTCCTTTTTCGTCCTTGTTTAGCTGAGGCCTTTTTTTAGAAGCTTTGCAAAATACTTTAACCGGATCCTCTTATTTCTTTGTACAATACATATTTCAAGTGTACGGTATAAGTTTAAATTATTTTTGGTATTGATTTTTTTGTGCCCTTATATTTAGCCCTCCCTATTACACAAGTTACAATCCGCCATTGCACATCAGTATAGATGTTTTATTATTGGAGATCCGAAGAAATTTTTAATACACAAGTTGTAGGACGATATTTTACAATTATTATTAAATATACAGGGAAGTCCACAAATGAGAGGCGAATCAAACTTATACTTTTTTAGACTAAAGAATCTGGATTACAGATTTGGTTGTTTTCACATCGTTAAACAATTTTATTATACTTAACTGTTTTCCATTTTGATTGATTTGTTATTATGTATATAGGGTGTGCCTATATGCGAAATTACGAATTTTCAATTATTTCAAATTAAATACCATTATTTTTAAATGCAATACGATGTATGTTATGGCACCAATCTATAAATATATTTCATTTTTTTATTTTGTTTTACATTGCCTGTACTTAAACGCATTATTTTTCAAGATTTTGATGGCTTCATTATAAATTTTTTTTTAATTATAATTGGCTTTAGAAACCTTGTCAGTTACAAAATTACAAATAGTTAGGCATTGGTTTTTATAATTCTTCATTATCAACTTACTTCTTCTGAAAATAAAAATGTTTTGAGTTCTTATTATCATCAATAGCTCTGAGTTACTGAATTATTGTTTTTTTTTTTATTTTAATGCTCTGTGATCTACATCTTTGTCAAAATTTTTAATTCTAGTCAAGTTTTAGTAGAAATTTGAAAACACAAAAGCCTACTTTTCAATTGTAAAAAAAAACAGTAATTATAATTATATACTCCCTAACTAACAAAGACGAACGTCTAACATCTAATCCTCCAAGTCGGATTTTAATTCATGGTTCACGGAATCTCGGTATTGCTAACCGAGAGGCGCTATTAATATCCTGAATAGAGGCGTGCCAGGCACTTCCTGCGCCTGGATCCGCCTGATAGAGGCCTCTAGAGACGCGCTTTGTGCTGCTAAATCACTCATTAAACCCAAACCGCCTTTATCCTGTCTCTCTCTTGTCACATTCGTCAGGCCTGTTTCTGGGGAGTGAACTTAAATAAACTTTGTTTAGGATTGATCAGTCCATCATAAAGTTTTAGAGAATAGTTGGATGGGTAATAAGATATAGAATTAGAGCTTTAACTTTGACAAAGTTTGTATTTTAATAATTATTGTTTATGTTCTAAAATTACTAAAATGCAAATTTCGTCAAAACCATGAGAGTAATCGAGTCTTATCAAGAGTATCTTTTTTAAAGTAAATGAGTTGCGCAATCTAAATTTCATACTCAAACTCCTTTTCTTCCATTGACGTAGAATTTTTAAAGGTGCAATTATTTAAAAAATCAAGTTCTACGCCTATGTATTATTATCGGACAAAATTTTAATACCATTTTTTTTTCCAATTAAAACTCTACCAATATGCCAAATTTCAGCAAAATCGCATATGCCGTTTTAAATTTATATGGGAAAAACGATTTAAAAATTGTAACTTCAAGGCCCTCTGGAGCCCAAACGAAGCAACTTTGTACAAAGGCAATTTTACTTAAATCGACTTATTTTGGTTTAAGGAATATGTGGTATGTTTTTGTAAAGATCTTTTACAGACACGCTGTATAGAAATGTCTATTAGAGATGTGAACTCTTCGTTCTTTTTAAAGACCTAGTTGGCACGAACTAGTTCACCCGCGCGAACTAGTTCGAAGAACTAGTTCGCGAATGAACTACTATTTTAACCGATTGGGGAAAGCGGATCATGCGCTTAGCGTGGGGACACCCAATGACATATATAGTTTAAATAGACTGCTTATCCATACGTAAATAAAACGATGAAAAGCGGGTCGAACTGGGAGATGTTTTCTCTTTGTCTAGTGCATGCAATGTTTGTGTTTTGTCTCAATTTTGAGTGCTCACTGGTAAACAAAACTTTCACAGGACCGGTTTTAAAGAAAGTTTAGTCTAGTTGAGATTTTGTTCTCATTGTCATTACTCAGTCGGACATTTTGTTGAGTTGTTTATTTTATTTAGTTTTAATTATACTTATGTTCTGTTTTAAATTTTTTAATTATTTGAGTATAACAACTTGTTTTGTTTTTAAATTTAAATGGTGAATTGCTCTATAAAGGGTTGTAAGACCAGCTACAGAAATATAAAAAGTAACATTTCATTTTTCACGCAAGTATCAATACAAGTAGGTACAAGGTAAATACGTTTATAATAATTTTATGAATTATAATTAATTATAATAATAATATTAATAATAAAGTATTTATTGTAAATACAATTACATAAATATTATTATATTCAAAGGCCCGAGTTAGAGCTATCTGGACTTTACAAGTACATTTTAAAATTTAGTTAGATACAGAGAAGTATCGTATAATAAAAACAATATAAATAGAAGAAAAATGGACATAAGTACCAATACAGAGAGACAAACACTTTAATTCTTTGATAGGTTCTTTCTATGTGAATTCTAGCTCTGGCAATTTTGGCATTAAGTAAAGCCTCTTGATGGCTGAACTGATTTTTTTTATTGAGGAAAGGAGGCTGTATAATTTGTATACCTTCAGCTTCTCTTATGTTTCCAATAAGAAAACCTTTGTTAAACATTTTACTATCGACATTTGATTCACACACTTCAAGTATTGAACTTTGTTAAAAAATGTCTATTTCTGAAGTTCTACCACCATATGCTTCACTTTTGTAAGTAATGAGACCAGTAGGTGACACTCCAGTCAATATTTTAATAGTATGCCTCTTTTTGTAGTCAGAGTAATTTTTTAGCCTACAACAAAGACATTTGGCTTGCTGTATTGGGATTTCGGTACAATCAAGTAGTACTCTTACTTACATAGAGGCACATTATTTAATATTTCTTGTTTTGAAGGCCGAATTATACCATACTAAGAACTTTTACCAGTTTTATTAAAAAATGTTAAAAAATTTAATGATAAAAAGTTTCATTCACTCCAAATACTTTGTACCTAGTTCATTTTAATATGATGTTGATCAGATTTCCACTGGTGGAATCTTATTATTATTCATCAAGTCATTCACATTCACCACCAAAATAATCCTTAATTGTCTAAAGGGAACAAACTTTAGAATGTGAAAAAGCTACTAACTTTTAGTAAAATCTTTAAAAAGTTCATTCAATTTTTGCATAATATCTTCTTTTATAATGCGAAATAAATTTTAAAAGAATAATCAAGTGTCCGAATAGTGCCACTATACAGTGGTCGTGGTCTAAAGTTAGTTATATACACATTAGTGTAAAATTGTTTATATCTATCTTCAAAATTGGTTAGATCTCTTAAAATGTTTTGAAAATTGGGAAACTAGACGTTATGACTCAAAATCCTTTTTTAAAATATCTAACGCCAGCTCCTGTCTTGAAATAAACATACAGATAATTTTTTTTTAGTTAAATTCCTACTTTGATGAAATATGAGTTTTAAACTCATTTGGGCCAGACCGATTCTGCCTGGTGAGCACTCGGCAAGCCAAGCAATATGACCCGCTTTTCGTCGTCTTGTTTATATATGGATGAGCAGTCTATTATTCTATATATGTCATTGGGGGACACCAGTAGTTCCCAGAGTGGTGAACGAAACTGGTTGGTAGTTCAGTTGTTCTTGTTTTGTTGTATTTTACAAATTCGTTTTATTTTTTTAATTAGAATTGGTAATTATTGGAGTTAAGTACAATTTTATTTAGCGTTTTTTAATTGCAAGTGTGTCAAAATGATCAAACGGTGTCGAAGGGTTTTGTGGGACCATTTTGAAAAAAATGATAAAAAAGCCAAATGTAAATACTGCGGTCAACTAATTAGTATCTCAGGCGGATCGCTCGGAAATCTTCGACGGCATATTAGTAGTAAACACATGTTGCTTAATATAACAATGTGTATCATTGACCCTGTCGGCCTGTCAAATCCGTTCAGACCCGACGCGATACCCGAACTCCGAACGAAAGAATTACAATACAATACCATAGATACAAGATACAATACCAATACCTGATACCGATCAAAGACGACGTATATCAATCATGTTCGTTCTCGTTCGTCGTTCTTTTCTCATCGCTGCCGCTGAAGGTCCGAAGGTCGAGTCGAACTAGTGAACTAGTTCAATTAAAACATTCGAACTAGTTCATTTAGTTCACACAAAAGAACGGCTCATTTTAACAGTTCGTTCGCGAACTACACATCTCTAATGTCTATACTTTCAATACGTATGAAGCAATATATTTAAATATATACGAGGTTCTGCGTTGACGTCACAATCGACGTTTGGCAATATCGCACTTCACAAACATATTTAAGAATCTAGACCAACCTGTATAATAGTATAAATCATTTTAAGATTAGTTATGTATTTTTTTTTCAAACGTCATTTTAATTTTTTTATTAGTCTGTCAGTGTTAGTGTGTTCTTGAAATATTTAATTTGTATGTTACGGATTAGTCCGCACAATTCATTAATCGAAAGCCGACTATCAAAATATAATATAATCGAAAATGTCTACAGAAACGTTTACTTCTCCGGAACAAGTAGAAAAGTTAGAAGGCCCTCAAGTATCTTCACCTTATCCCCAGGAGCGAAAACTTTCCAGAGCTTTACGAATTCAAAAGAGATTGACTCAAAATAAGACTAAGAGTGGCCGGTAAAGTATTACTATTTTTTTGATATAATTATTTCATTATTTTCTATTTTATAATAGAATAAGTTGACAAATATTTTATCAAAACCCATATTTTAAGCTTTAAGAAACCCCATGTTGATATATATTCATTTATTTATTTTAGTTAGTTCTTTTTGTTTCGAGTTTGTTATGTGTGAACCCCCTATTCATATAACCTTGTCGGTAAACAATATGGATACACAATTTTCGCATAATTTCCTGTTTTAAATGACACTACTGCTATTTATCATCAATTTAACTGCAGAAAACCTAAAATGATCATAGTTATTACAGAAATATTGTGTATTAATCAAAACATAAACCATTTTTTTTAATATAACCTCAATTTTCTTACAATACATCTGCATTATTTTCTATAGCTGTGTTGCCAATTTTTTAAGTGCATGTATTTGATAAAATATCGGATAATCGAAACACAATCGATTGGGGTAACGTTGGGCAATCGATTTCAAATCTATACAAATTATTTTATTTCGTTTTTCTTCCTAAAAACTCTTTTTTACTTAATTTCCAGCCACAATCCGATGATTTATATATCTATTTTGAATGAATTGTAGTACATTGTATTATCCAAAAGTTTTTAAACTTTTTGAAGCAATCAAATTTATTATATTATTATGAATTGTCAACAAAATCTTGATGACTTTATCAATTAAAAAAGATTGTAGCTGAATTCGTTCAATTTCTGTTGAGTCAGCTGTATTGCCGCCCACAGGATGCTTTCAGCTATTCAGCAAGAATTCATTTAAAATATACATCGATACATACACCTTTTTTGTACTATTTATTTTTAAACTAAAAGATATTTCTAATATTAAAAGATCATTTAACCAGAGAAAAAAATTACAGGATTAAAATAGATAATAAACTTGATAACTGAGGCCATGTTATCTAAAAATATTTCATTGATAACAAATATTTGATTAATTTGACATGCTTGTTATAAGATAGTTAGAAGTCGAATTTTATATACAGAGTGTGCAAAAAGTAATGTAACTTGTTAATATTAAATAACTGATAGGTTTACTAAAATGTTTTGAATAAAAGTTTTATGAAATAAATCATGTTATCGGTAAATGGTAATAGGAAATATATTGGGTTGATCATTATTCCAAAAGGACGCAAGAATATATTTTTTAAATAGTTTTTCGTACTTTTTTATATTTAAAATAAAGTAATTGTTTCCTTTTCTCTCAAGTAATTTCTTATAAATACAGCCCGTTTCACAGCAACATCGGAAAGTTCCATAAGCCCTCGCCTTGGATCATCTTGTTTTCCATTTAAAACCAATATATTTCAGTAAAGTGCATAATGATATGCGGCATCTATTAAATAATTAATTTTCTTTCAATTTTTCTAATAAAGCATCCAAAGTTACGTGTTCGTCTGCAAAAAAATGTATATTTATAATGAGATGATATAAAATAAATAATCTACACTTACTAGCTTTATACATGTTGTAAATAACATCTAGAATTGTACTTGTATTTAGAGTTCTTGTATTAGTTACTTTCTTTGTACGAAGACGCTTTTTTGGAGGCAATTTCAAAACGACATGATTCTTAGCTGCTTGAAAAAAGAACAAATTTAAGTTAAGTGCTGCCGATACACGCTAAAAATGATAATTTACTTCTTTAATAGTAGTTAAACCATTCATATCGCGTTCTTGTTCAAAATACTGTAGCAATGAAGCTTTGAGCTTCTTACGTCGGCTATTTAATTTCTTTGGCACTTTTAAACCTGCGAGGAAGACAATATGGTTGTTCCTTAACGAACAGTCTCCCAAGCCTCATCCCATGTATTCGATGTACAATCTAAGACCGTATCAGCATAAGAAATGAGGCTACATTCTTTATAAGAGAGTAGATTGTTTATAAAAATTAAAAATAGAGTAGGTCCAAGGATAGTGCTTTGTGGAACACCTCTTATTACTCTTTTTCCACTTAATTCACAACCAACATGTACTTGTTGTGGTCTATCTGTCAAGTAGTTAAAAACAAGTTTTAAAACATTACCGTGAAAGCCTATATTATCCAAGAAATTTTTGGTGTGAAGCTGTATTAAATGCTTTCTGAAGATTAAGAAAAACCGCAATATTCTTTTTATTTTCGTTAAAATTGACTAGTTTATCCGGCGGGTCCTTTTTGCCCACAAATCTCTGTTTTCTACCTGTGTAAGTAAAGGGGTGCGTTAATCTTACTGGTATTTTGCCCACAGTAGCATTCAGGTACCTAAACCCGCAAATTACATCCGCCCACAAATAGGTACCTACCTGATTATTAATAATTCTAATAGGTACTTACTTTGGGTGTTTACTGTTTATATTTCAGTCAGTTTTTATACGTTGATGATTGTAATTCAAGTGTTTATAAACAATAATTATTTCTATAATGTCAGCTACATTGATTAAAAGCACACGCGGGAAAGATGTACTCCTTTTGGAGAATTTTACGTTTGCCAAAGATAGAGAAATGAAAAGTGGAGAAGTTTCTTGGAGATGCTCCCAAAGAAAAACAAATGCTTGTAATGCCACTGTATTTACAATTGGTCCTGAACTTTTAGTATCCAGAGGCAACCTAATTCATAGCCATGAAGCAAATGAACCGAAATTAAACAGGAAAATTATTTCTAATTCGTGTAAGCGAAAAGCAGTTGATGATATTTCGGAAAAACCTTCTAAAATTATCCGTAAAGTACTTGCTACTAATTTACCAGAGTCACTAACTACAATTGATGTGTCCTACATAAGAAAAACTATATACAACAGTCGTCGCAAAATACTACCAGGTCCATTACTTACAAATATACAAGAAGTGCATGATGCAGTTGACTTATATTCTAATACATTTAAAACCAGTAAAGGTGAACATTTTCTTTTAATAAATAGCAGAGAAAATAATATTGTATTTACATGTGAGACAAATATTCGTATTTTGTGTAAAATGAACGTCTTGTATATGGATGGAACATTTTCGTATTGTACAAAGTTTTTCCTACAATTATTTACCATTCATGGGCTGTGTAATGGACACTATGTGCCCCTGGTATATTGTTTATTACCAAACAAATCTACCGATATATACAAACATTTGTTTTCGTTATTGCATTATAAAATTTTGGAAACTTACAGTATTGCTTTAAATCCATCTAAAGTGTTCGTTGATTTTGAAATAGCAATTCATAAGGCGTTAATTTATATGTGGCCTAATACTGTAATCAATGGCTGCCGATTTCATCTACATCAAGCGTGGTATCGTAAAATTCAGTCTCTGAGATTAATGACTGAATATACAACTAACAGTGATACCGGAAAATGGCTTAAAACATCATTTGGGTTGACATATTTAAACGCCGATGAAGTTGGAGACTGTTTTGTGTTTGACTTAATGGCAAGTAAACCAGAAAATGCCGTTCTCGATAGGTATGCCGATTACCTATTAGAAACATATATTGAAGAAAATTCTACATTGCCTCCAAGTATATGGGCAGAAAAAACAGCTTCAATTACAAGAACTACAAATGCCTGTGAGTCGTTTCATTCAAGGTTTAATTCTTCATTCTACTGTACACATCCTTCTGTATATATTTTTATAGAAAAGCTTAAAGACTTTCAAATCGACACGTATGTCACAATACAAAGCTTAAGTATACCTAAGAAAATCAAAGACAAAAGTGTAAAACAAAAAATTCAGTGTTTAGAAAAATTTATACAGCGATTTGATCTGCAGCAAATCAGCAGATTAGAGTATATAAAATTTGTATCACATTTATCCCTCCCAGTTGAAAAATATGTAAATAAAATATAATTATATAAAAAATATAATATAACTTATGTATACTTACTTTTTTATAATAATAAAAATTAGTGTTTAATATAATTTTTAGTTTAATTAATAATGTGTTTTTACTTTTCGATAATATATAAAAAATAATAAATGAAAGATATATCTATTATGATTTATTCAGTTAGAAATAAATTTGGGCAAAATACCAACAGGATTAAGATGACCTTTTACTTGCTGTGGGCAAATTACCTATAGGATTAGCAGCTTTAAATATTTTGTGGGCAAATTACCTCCGCCCAGTTTATCTGATATAAGTATTTGTAAAGGTAGTTCTTTTCCAATCCCTTTTTGGAACCCGTATTGTTTATTTAAAAATTCTTTTATTTAAATATTTTTCGAATATCTTTGAGATATTTTTTATTAGTGAAATTGGCCGATAATTTGTCATTTCGTCTCTCCTATTAGATTTATAAATTGGTATGACACAACTCTCTTTAAGCTGAATTGGAATATTTGAAATATTAGATGGAATATACAGGGTGGACCAATCTTGTGGAAAAGTTCGATATCTTCCTTGTTGAAAGAGATATTAAAAAAGTGTATTAAGAAAATTATTGACACGTTTGAGGTTATCATTTTAAAATTATTGGGAGGTATACAGGGTGTGGCATAGCTCGTGTACGAACCAAACATGTTTTTTTTTTAATGATAACCCCAGTATATTATTTTAGATTCTGTTTACTCATCTTTTTTCCATTCTTCTAATATATGGTTTGTTTATGTTATATAGGGTACTTTTCAAGGAATTGACATAATTCAATGTCCAGCAGCCAATTACACACTGTAGAAACAAATATTTGGGGTGGTATTGTGGGTGATTATGTGATAGGGCCACACTTTTTGAAGGACGAGTAAATAGTGCAGTATATTTGGATTTCCTTGAAAATCATTTGCCTACGTTACTCGAAGATGTTCCCCTTCACATTCGCCAACAAATGTGGTTTTTGCACGATGGTGCACCAGTCCATTACACTGTAGTAATTCATAATTATTTAAATAATCACTTTCCAAGACGGTGGATCGGAAGAGGATGACCGATAGCGTGGCCAGCGCGATCACCGGATTTGACAAAAATTTATTTTTTTCTGTGGGGTTATGTAAAAAACAAAGTATATA